TGCCCCTACAGCACCCCTCTGGTCTGGTGCTAGCCCAATTAGAGTCATAGAGTAATAGAGACCTACAGCATGGAGACAGGCCCTTTGGCCAAACGGGTCCATGCCAACCAAGATGTTCGTCCACACTAACTCCATTTCCCTGCACTTGGCCCACGTCCTTCTCCCCCTCAAAGGAGAGGCGATGGCCTAGTGGTATTATCGCTAGATTGTTAATCCAGAGACCCAGATAACATTCTGGGGATCTGGGTTCAAATCTCGCCACGGCAGATGGTGGAATTTGAATTCAATAAAATATCTGGAATTAAGAATCTAATGATGACCATGAATCCATTGTCGATTGTCGGAAAAACCCATCTGGTTCATTAATGCCCTTTAGGGAAGGAAGCTGCCATCCTTACCTGGTCTGGCCTACATGTGACTCCAGACCCACAGCAATGTGGTTGACTCTTAACTGCCCTCTGGCCAATTAGGGATGGGCAATAAATGCTGCCTAGCCAGTGACACCCTCATTCTGTTAATGAATAAAACAAAATAAACATTTCGTATCTACGTATTCATCCAAAATGCCTTTTAAATGTTGTTAATATACCCGCCTCATTCCATATGCATACCAACTTGTATTTAAAAAAATGTATTAAAATGTTTCTCCCGCAGGTTCCCACATATTCTTTCCCCCTTACCTTAAACTGATGTCCTGTAGTTCTCGATCCCCCAACCCTCGGAAAAGGACGGAAAGTGCATTCACCCTGTCCATGTCTCTCGTGATCTTATATACTTCTGCAAGATTTCCCCCCTCAGTCTCCCATGCTCTAAAGAAAAAAAGTCTAGCTTGTCCAACCTCTCCCTATAACTTAGACCCTTGAGTGCTGGCAACATCCTTGTAAATTTCTTCTACACTCTTTCCAATTTAGTAATGCCGTTCCTATAGCAAGGTAACCAAAACTGAACACCATACTCCAGGTGTGGCCTCAACAACATCCTGTACAACTGCAACTTAACTTCCCAACTTCTGTACATAATGCCCTGACTGATAAAGGCCAGTGTGCCGAACGCCTTCTTCATTGCCCTACCTACCTGTGATTCCACTTTCAGAGAACCGTGCACCTGCACTCCAAGGTCTCTCTGTTCCACTACACTCCTTAAGGCCCTACCATTCACCATGAATCTCCTACCTTGACTTGCCTTTCCAAAATGCAACACCTCACACTTATCTATATTAAACTCCATTTGTCGTTTCTCGGCCCATTTCCTCAGCTGATCAAGATCCTGCTGCAATTTCTGATAACCTTCCTCACTGTCCATGATACCACCTATTTTATAGTATCATCCACAAACTTACTAATCATGCCTTGTACATTCTCATTCAAATCATTGATATAGATAACAAACAGCAATGGGCCCAGCACTGACCCCTGAGGCTCACCACTAGTCACAGATCTCTGGTCCAACAAGCATCCTTCTACTATTATGCTGTCCTGCACACCATCAAGCCAGTTGTGTATCCAATCTGCCAGCTCTCTCTGGATTCCATGTGATCTAACCTTCCAGAGCAGCCTACTATATGGAACCTCAAAGGCCTTACTGAAATCCACGTAGACTACGTCTACCACCCTACCCTCAAACCTTCCTGGTCACTTCATCAAAGAGCTCCAAATAATTTGTGAAGCATGATCTCCCACACACGAAGCCATGCTGACTACTCCCAGTTTAATGCTAGCCAGTTTGTTCAGAGTAGGGTCTCCACAGTCTGGCAAAATGCCCAAAATGCAGTAAGGTGGCCAGGTAAGTGGCATTATTTTTTGTCTATTGTATCTATTTTAGAGTTGGGCCACCTACTGTTGAGTACTTCACTTATGCCTTCGCAGCTACCCTAGGTTGCTGGCAGTTGGTAGACTACTAGAGTCAGACACCAGCGCCATGGTGTTGGCCCTTATGTACCTAATGCATATGCATAAGCAGACAGGAGCAGAAAGCAAATTTATCAGTTAACAGGATCTGCAAAATCTGCAAGGCTGCAAGGTTGTAAGTTTGCAGCTCGATGGTTGGGACCTAGCTACCTCAAACATGAGCGCATCTAGCTCCTTCAGGCTGGCAGCTGCCATGGGAGACACAGCTCCGGCAGACTCCATTTGCAGAATTCACACACAGGCTTGTCCTTCATTGTTTCAGCCATTGGTGATCAGTGTCAACGGCCAAGTGACAGGTGACAGGTGACTATGGACCAGACACACTCCACACTTCCTCTCAAGGAGACTGGGTGGTGCTAGTAGGCACCCGGGTGAGGAGGAAACAAATACATAGATCCCTACAAAGTCTCCTCTCAGGATATTCCAGAGATGGCAGCACCTTCCACCTCCGCCCTGCCTACAACCCTTAGACCTGTAAGAGCTGAAGTTGACTCTGCATGTGCTTCTGCACAGGGCACAATCAACACCTCTGGGCTCTCGAGACAAAAGTGCCCCAAGGGTCATTTTACTGAGCCTCCAATGTCAACAGATTCTTCTATAAGGCAAGCTGCTTTGACCACAGCTATGGAACCTGGGAATGACCACCTGAGAGCATAACCAACACTTCATTGAAAATACATTATCACATTTATAATATATGGTGGTCACTTTTCACCATCAGCCATGTGCAAGTCTCTGTCTAGCCATAACCTCAACATTTAAAGGTACAGAAAACATCACACCCAAGGTGACATAGCATGTAGCGCTCTTAGGCGTGTTTTAGCTTCAGTGCATGGGTGTCTGTGCAATGGTGTTGCCCTTTGAAGGGCCTCAGATTGCTCAGAAATCAAAGACCCTCCCCTCAGAGAACCCAGTCACTTTCATCTCAATTGCGCACTTGTATTTTTAGCACAATGAAAGGGAACAGCGGCCACTCTTTGGAGAGAGAGAGAGTCTCAGGTTCAGCTTCTCCATTTTACTATACCCACCCAAACATCCCATTACTGGTAACTACCCACCTCTCCAACCTCCCCACCCTGTATCATCTCAACCCTCTAAGATAACCTGAACTACAAGATCTCTTATTAATCCTAACTCATAACATATTAATAGACAAAAATAGCCTGTTCTCCAGTTGGTTCTAAAACATACTAAGAAACAATCCCTGAAGTATTCTACAAATTTATCTTCCATGATACTGATTTGTCCCACCAATATGCAGGTTAAAATTACACATGGTATTTGTAATGCTCTTCTTACATGCCTCCATTATTTCCTGATTTATACTTTGTGCTGCAGGGAGAACACTCTTCAGGGGCCGATAGATAACTCCCACCAGTGATTTCTTTCCTCTGCAATTCCTTATTTTCACCTAATCTGATTCAATCCATTGTACCAACTCATCACTGCACTGATACTTAACTCTACTAACAAAGCTACCTTTTATCTCCTTTTCTTTTGCCCATTCTTCTGCAGCATACAATACCCTTGAATATGGGGTTCTGAGTCTTGGACACCCAGCAACCATGGTCCTGTAATAGCTATTATGTCATGTTCATTTATTTCTATTTGAGTTGTCAACCCATCTATTTTGTTAGAAATGCTGCACGCGTTTCAAATAAAGAGGTGTAAGCTTTTGACTTTTTACCTTTTACCATTGTTGGGTTCTAATTTCTGCTGCATTCCTCTGCATATATTGTCCACATCTTCCTGTCACATTGTTCACCTCTTCAGTACCCTTTCACCTCTGGTCAGGAATTTCTTTTTGGATTTTTAAAAATCTTTCCTCCAATTGAACCCTCTCCCTCAGTTATTAATGTAAATATATTGGGCACAACCAATTCACTGTAGACAAATGTAAAGTTTTAAATTGGGGTTCTAAAAAGAGTCATACAGGCTACTTATGAATAGTGTAAACATAGAAACAGTGGAGATCAAAAAGACATGAAAAAATCCAGGTGCATAGATCATGAATGAATTTGGAAAATCCTGCTAAAATGCTAGATTTTCTGTTTCTAGAGGAATAGAAGGCACGGTCATAGAATCCCTACAGTGTGGAAGCAGGCCATTCAGCCCATCAAGTCCACACTTCCAAACAGCATACCACCCAGAACCAACCCCCTACCCTATATGGTATCACAAGTCATCCATCAACTGTACCAAGCTACGGTTTAATGACACTTAGTGTATTGATTCAGTTTGTACACTGCACTTTAGCGAGGACCTGCTCAAATTTAAAGAATGCACAATGATAAAGATCAAGTCAGGAAGAGATTAATGAACTAGGGCTGTTTTCACTAGAGTTCAAGAAAGGTTGATCAAAGTTCTGAAGTTTGCAAGCTGAAATGTGAGAAACTAAGTCTGATTGGTTGGGATTATTAACAGAAAGTTGCAAAAATTAAAGCTGGACCTTTCATAATTGAAATTAGTCAACATGTTCATGCAAAGGGTTATACAAATTTGTAACTTTCCTTGGAACTCTTCCACAAGTATCAATTAATGCTGAATCAATTTTGAATTTTAAAACTGAACAGTAGATTCTTGTTATTCAAATAAATTGAGGGATAGGAGACAAAGGCAGGTAAGTGGAATTGGCATGTAAATCAATTGCGATTTTTTTTGAATGGTTAAGTAGGCTCAGGGGGCTAAATGGCTGACTCCTGCTCCTGCATGCACAGGAAAGTAAATACCCAGAATTCAGTAAAATGACCAAGATATTAGATATGCAAAAAAATTCAATAATCAAATACATGAGCCTTTTTGAACCTCGAGAATTGACTATTCCAATTCCCAACAACCTGGCTTGTTATTTACAGTTCTGAAATTTTCACGTTCGGATTAAGTACTAAAATCTGAAAAAAAAGGGAGAGAAAAAAAATGTCTGTCAAACCCATTATGCCTAGTCCACATTTCAGAATAACAAGAGATAAATGCTGCATGGCTGACCAAGGTACTAGACCTCAAAGTGTTAATCCATTAGATTAAACAATAAAGTTTGTTAAATTTACTTGATCATCAAAATTTTAAACCAAAGAAGCACAAAAGTAAGTTTACCTTCAACTTCCTCATTTCTTCAGTGAAGTTCTGAAATATTGCACTGATGTTTAGGTCACTCAACTCTTCACCATCCAACTCAGAGAGTGGCGTTGTGATTTCCTGCACCATTTCTTCTGAACCTAATTAACAGGACAAACTGTTCAGGATCAATAAGACCAATTTGCAGTTCTAAGCATTGGCATTTCTCGAATATATTGTAGTGGACCACAACTTAAATGCACAGCAATAGGATAAAATCAAACATCTTCTAATTAGGGTTAGCCTACATATAAATTTAGTCTCATCTGTGACTCCATATTTCAACCTTAAATGGAACCTAACTCGCCGCTCTAAATTGGTAAAATAATTACAATTTCTATGAATTCCATTTGAAAACAGTGCATTATTTCATCTGTATTTGCATGTTTCTACCAGCAATAGAATTCAGAAAGACTCATCTATTAGATCATTTTCTCTAATATTTTTATTATGGAGAAACATGGGAAAAAAGGAATATTATTCTTACATAAATTTTCTATTTAAGGTTTTTATTAGAAATAAATTCTTAATGAAGAATACACATGGCATTTCTAACATCAAAAACATTAACTCTCACCTTTCTCAGACTTCTCAGATGATGCAAACAGCCTTTTTGCTTTAAAATGTGGAAAAGGAGTTAGTATGGTTTCATCTTTATTTGGATAACTACCATCAGTGTCAGGCCTTTCTAGGAGAGTACTTGTGGATTGTTGCACTGTGAATGCATCATCTGCAAAGGCAAATATGATTTGAGAAAAACATTTCACTCTTTCATTGAAATACAGAAGTTAAAAATGATTTTGTATCCAGTCCACAGTAAATAGCAGAGAGAAAGAGATTTAGAACTGATAAAAGAGTATGAATAACATATTTTTGATGGCCAAGCCAAGAGGTTAAAGAGTGCCTTTTCAGAGTAGCCTGATGGTTGGAGATGACAAACTCTATATGTCCAAAAGAAATGAAGAGATATACAAGGGTTCAGTTTAACCACTCAGGATGCATCATGGGTAATCTTTGGAGTTTCCTCAATTGATTTCTGTAATTTAGAAAAATATTCCTGGGATTTTCATGAGATTGGCTTCAGATTTTCTTTTTGTTTTGCCCTTTCTTGTAATTAATCATTGCTTCATACTGGAGCGGTTGGTGCACATGGACTGTCTGCTAAATGATGAAATGTGAGCAAATTTGGGTCCAGTGGTCTTTTCTTGGCTTTTTCAGAAAATGCTAGATTGTCATAAATTTCAAAATAAAGTATTCTGTTGTATTAAGTGTTCACCTTTATTTAAATTCTTTCACCCATTTGTTAGAAACACACAGCTTCAGAACATGCTCTCATCAATTATTGATGTACTCATTAATTTTGTTTGCAGCTCCACACCGGACTATTTTACTTGGCTTACATTTAAAATCCTATGAGGTCAGTGATACTAAGGAAAAGTGTCTTGCTGTTTCTTGAAAAAGAAGAATCCAGAAACCGTCACCACCATTAAAACAGTGGCCTCCCCTTGCTCACTCAGTACCATCTTGATTGATCCTTAACCTGTTGCTGCAGGGGCTGGCAAGCGGCCCAGGATGCATCTCCAGAACCTAGATACTGCTGGTTGCTACCGCCATTGGCTTTGCCTTCGACTCCATCATGGCAGTGACTGGCAATGACAAGCAATTGTTAGCCACCATTCCTGCCACTCCCAATAGTTCAAGATCTCGCTCTGCTGGGACTGTCTGGCGGTTGATGTGCGATGGCCATCCATCATTACATCCACATGCAGGCATCTGCCACCCTAACACCCCCACATCTCCCATTGACATTACCACCTCCCACTTGAGTGAAAGATGACGAGCAGGAGAAGGCCAGCTTAAAGAACAAGATGCTGATTACACCTTCTACTGGAACAGCAAACCAAAAGAACAATGCCATCTCTACGGGGATCGCCATGAGACATGAATTGGTAAGATTCCTCAACAAATCCTTCTGTGTGTTAAGTTGGTATCTTATAATCCTACCACTCACCCTGGCCCAGAAGCTATACATCACAGTCTGTCATTGCCTACACCCTGATTTTTGACGAGACAAAAGGGGCATTCGACACTAGCCTCAAAGAATCACTGCCCTGAAATACCAAGGGAAGATAAATTGATGGTCTACTTCAATGCCAGAGTCGGGAGGGATGCAAACCTTTGGAGAGGTGTATTAGGCAAGGAAGGAGTTACGGAAAACAAACTACAACAGAGTACTCTTCCAGATTAAAAAGTGCTTAGAATACCATGCAGAATGCTTTGTCATAAAAAACACGATGTTCTGCCACATGGACACATACAAGACTGCATAGCAACACTCACTTCATGCACTGCCATCTAACAGACTACCTCATTCAAGAGAGGGACTGAAAAGGTCTACACATCAGCTTTGTTGTGACCAGAGTCAACAACTGCTGGACCAACCACTGACTAATCTTCTCTATCTCTGTCAACCTAGACTGAAACATGCAAAGGTAGATTAAAAAAAAAGTTCTGATGGAGAGTCACTGGACTTGAAACATTAACTCTGCTTTTATCCCAAAATGCTGCCAGAACTGTTGAGTTTCACTAGTTTCAGAAAACAACTCTACGGCATGAGACTTCATGTTGTTGGACTCAAAGACCCGGAGAAGACAGACCTACTCATGCAACGCAACCTGATTATGAGTGACATGCCAGAGTTGCTGAGTGCCCATGGTACCTGATCCCCCTAAATGCCAGTATAGTGAGCACCTGCATGGAGATTCTTGGCTTCTTGACCTGGAAACACCAAGACTGGGTCAACAAGAATGCTCTGCCAAGAGATGCATGAAGCCAAAAGTAACTGAAGGCCAAGGTGCAACAAAGGACCCGTTACCTAAAGTATAGATGGTGGATGGAAAGGGGTGTCAGTGACTCACAAACAAGGTCCATATGTGAAGCTTCTTCAGTGCAATCAAAGCCTTCTACTCCGGGTATTCATGGACCTACTCTGCTGAGAGCCAAAAATGGAGAGTCGCTTATCAAAGACAGTCAGTGCCTGCTGAACGTAGCATTTCAAGGACCTCCTCAACCAAGGTGAATTCTTAAACACAAGTGCTCTCGACATCATTCCTCAATACACTACCTGTCACTTTCTCAGCACAGCTCCAACCTGCCATGAGGTCAAAAACAGCCATCTGACAGCTGAGAAACAATGCCTCTGGCACAGACAGAATCCCCAAAATGCTAAAATATGGTGGACGGACATTCTTGACTTAAATCCACAACCTTATTGCATTTGCATGAAAGAAAAATAGCATGCTGGGAAATCTCAGACAGAGTAATTGAGATGATCGACAAGAAAGGAGGCAGGCCCCACTGTGGAAGTGACAAAGCGAATTTCCTACTGCATGCCACAGGAAAAATCTTTGGAAGAATCTTCCTTCACCACTTCCTGCCCATGGCTTAAGCGCTCCTCAAAGTCTCAATGCAACTTCTGCTCATCAAGAGGCACAACAGACATGATTTTCAGTGGGCAACAAATCCAGGAAAAGTATAGGAATTAGCACCAACATCTGAATAGGTCAGACACTGTTAAAAGGGATAATTGGTGTGAGGGGAGAAGTGGAGAGAAAGAGGAGAGCTGGAATAGTAGGTTTTACTGCTTTGACCTTCTCAGCTGTTCTCCCACCAAGTCTGTATGAGATCATTGTAGGGCATAGGGCATAGAACATGCTCTTCAGCCCACGATGTTGTGCCAAACTTTTACCCTAATCCTAAGGTCTATCTAACTTCCACCCCTACCGTGTACTATCATCCATATGCCTATCTAATAGCTGCTTAAATGCCCCTAATGAAGCCGACTCCACTACCCTCTCCGGTAATGCATTCCATGCCCTGACCACACTCTGAGTAAAGAACCTACCTCTGACGTCTCCCCTGCATCGACCTCCACTCACTTTAAAACTATGTCCCCTTGTAATAGCTACCTCCACCCTAGGAAAAAGTCTCTGGCTGTCTACTCTATCTATACCTCTGATCATTTTGTACACCTCTATCAAGTCACCTCTTATCCTTTGTCGTTCTAAAGACCTTTCCTCGCAAGACCTTCCCTCCATTCCAGGCAACATCCTGGTAAATCTCCTCTGCACCTTTTCCAATGCCTCCACATCTTTCCTGTAACAAGGCAACCAGAGCTGGACACAATACCCCAGATGTGGTTGAACTAGGCTTTTGTATAGCTGGAGCATAACTTCACGGCCCTTGAACTCGATCCCTCTATTAATGAAAGTTCCCTACCTATGTCCGTGACACCACCCACGCCCTCCACCTCCTCCAGAACTTCCAATTCCCCGGTCCCCAACACCTCATCTTTACCATGGACGTCCAGTCCCTCTACACCTGCATTCCCCATGCAGATGGCCTTAAGGCCCTCCGCTTCTTCCTGTCCCGCAGGCCCGACCAGTCCCCCTCCACTGACACCCTCATCCGCTTAGCCGAACTCGTCCTCACACTCAACAACTTCTCTTTCAATTCCTCCCACTTCCTACAGACAAAGGGGGTAGCCATGGGTACCCGCATGGGCCCAAGCTACGCCTGTCTCTTTGTAGGTTACGTGGAACAATCCCTCTTCCGTACCTACACCGGCCCTAAACCCCACCTCTTCCTCCGTTACATTGATGACTGTATCGGTGCCGCCTCGTGCTCCCACGAGGAGCTCGAACAGTTCATACACTTCACTAACACCTTCCACCCCAACCTTAAATTTACCTGGACCATCTCTAACACCTCTCTCCCCTTCCTGGACCTCTCTGTCTCCATATCGGACAACCACCTCGAAACCGATATTCATTTCAAGCCCACCGACTCCCACAGCTACCTAGAATACTCCTCCTCCCACCCACCTTCCTGCAAAAATGCTCTCCCCTATTCCCAATTCCTTCGCCTCCGCCGCATCTGCTCCCAGGATGAGGCATTCCACTCCCGTACATCTCAGTTGTCCTCGTTTTTCAAGGACCGTAACTTCCCCTCCTCGGTGGTCGAGAACGCCCTCAACCGTGTCTCCCACATCTCCCGCACCTCATCCCTCACACCCCGTCCACGCAATAAGAACCAAAAAAGAATCCCCCTCGTCCTCACGTACCACCCCACCAACCTCCGGATCCAACGCATCATCCTCCGACACTTCCGCCATCTGCAATCCGACCCCACCACCAAAGACATCTTTCCCTCCCCACCCTTATCTGCTTTCCGGAGGGACAACTCTCTCCGTGACTCCCTTGTCCGCTCCACACTCCCCTCCAGCTCCACCACACCCGGCACTTTTCCCTGCAACCGCAGGAAGTGCTACACCTGCCCCCATACCTCCTCCCTCACCCCCATCCCAGGCCCCAAGAAGACTTTCCACATCAAGCAGATGTTCACCTGCACATCTGCCAATGTGGTATACTGCATCCTCTGTACCCGGTGTGGCTTCCTCTACATCGGGGAAACCAAGCGGAGACTCGGGGACCGCTTTGCAGAACACTTACGCTCGGTTCGCAACAAACAACTGCACCTCCCAGTCGCGAACCATTTCAACTCCCCCTCCCATTCCTCAGACGACATGTCCATCCTGGGCCTCCTGCAGTGCCACAACGATGCCACCCGAAGGTTGCAGGAACAGCAACTCATATTCCGCTTGGGAACCCTGCAGCCCAATGGTATCAATGTGGATTTCACAAGTTTCAAAATCTCCCCTCCCCCCACCGC